TCTATACAAACGCTTTCTAAATTCTAACATAGAGCTTTGTAAAGGGTAAAAGGCTAATCAAAGTACCTGCCAGAATAGCTTTTTAACTAAGACATCTTTCTGACAAGCTGTGAGCAGTTCATGAACCAATTCAAACGTAACTTGAAAGTCTTCGGAGTTTAGTATCTCTTTTTCCATTTGGTCAAACAACGCTGTTACCTGAGAACTATACAAGAAAATGAACATGCATATTACATAAGCATAATATTGTAGAGTAATGGATGATTTGAAATATAAACGAAATTTTGATCTAGACAAGAAAAATGAAACCATTACCATAGCTGGAAAGAGCATCTTAAAATGAGTAAAATTGCAAAGTTTGGTTGCGAATTGTTGTAAAATGAGGAAACTTTTCGTCCTGTGGAGTTCGCAAATTTTGTATATATTTGCATTACGTGCGAGAAAAATAACCATTCTTGAGGCGAAAGTGGTTATTTTACCGCGCGTAATACAAATATTTATTATATAAACATAAGTGTTATATAGAGTTTTTGGCCACTGAGAAAAATCGTATTTAAACACACGTAAAAAATACGATATTCTTACGTGTGAAAATATCATTTGTTGTAAAACGCATTGCCACGGACGTTTTATTGTTTTTCACTGAATTTTGTTTATATAATAAACAGAAAAATACATGGGTGCTTGGAAATACCAGATTTATTTCTCGTGTTGAACATGATATCTCACTCGTTCGCTGCGCTCACTCGTGAGGTATCATGTTCAACACTCGAAATAAATCTGGTATTTCCGCGCACCCATGTATTATTCTCTATATACAAAATTTTCGAATTTCACAGGGCTAGATTTTCTTCATTTTACAATATATAGCAACCAATCTTTGCAGTTTTACTCATTCTAAGACGCTCTTTCTAGCTGTGCTGTTGGATTTCGTTCTCCAATTTCCATCCAAATTTAACCAAAATTTAACCAATTTGTCCTTGGCCGTTGGGCAATCTCAATTAGTCCAAGAAAAAACACGGTAATTATTGGTTAGAAATTTAAATCGCACCTGTTAGGCTTGTTTTTGACAACTGTTTTAGGAGACTTCTCTTTCTTGGCATACTTTACAGCTGAATTCTAAAAAAACAACAACTAATAATCAAGCGAGCCGTATCTACTAAATCGAGTCACAATTATCAACTCACCAATAAGCAGTTATCCCAAATACTACGAAGATACGACAACATGACAGTATCATCCAGTATCATATAGAGATGAATCTTCGAGGACGCCTCTTCTTTGAAACTACCGTCCAAATCACCAGAAGACTGCCCGGCACTTCTGTCCACCCCGGCATTCTTATCCCCGGGCTTAGCACTCCGGCGTTCTTTAAACCAACTCTGCAGTCCATTAAAACTGCCCATCAGACCACTTTTCGGTGTAGAAGTCAAGTTGGGCTCCGAGCCCGAATTTAGGGTGGGATCGAATTTTACCTGCATTGCCCGCAAATCTGCTGCACTTGCGCTGACCGTCAACCTGGTGGGGCTATTTTTAGACCTGAAGTCATCTGTTGTTGAGAAAGAAAAGTGTAATGGAACAGAGTTAGACTCATAATCACCATCTTCGCTGTCGAGAGAGCTGAACTTTATCAATGGCGAAGTTCTGGTTTTTGAATTTGCATCTTGGTCAAAACGCCCACCCTCATTTGGCGAAAGTGTATTCGAACCAGATTTTCGACCAGGCAATGTTCTAGCTACTGGCTTCGGTGATAGGCTATTCTCCGTAGATTTTGATAAACGCCCATCGCTTGAACGCCTTGTGAGACTCGAATTCTGATCAAAAGCCTCAGTCTTTGCAATAAATGTAACCGGACTGGATTTTCGCCTTGACTTTTCTTTCAACGTTCTTGTGGTCGGTGATAGATTATTCTCCCCAGCTTTTGTTAACCGGCCATCATTCGATCTCATTAAAAAATCCGAATTCTGATCTAAAGACTCATCTTCGTAAAAGGTACCAGGACTGGATTTTCGTCTGGTCTTCTCTTGTGAACGTTTTGCTGTCGGTAACAGTCTATTTTGTTGTTCTTGATTTGCTTCAAATGTGTCAAGTGAAGAATCGTTTTCATATGAGTAGTCGTCGCCAAGCGAATTCCTACTTTGCTTTCTGATACGAGTTCTCCCGGGCGGTAAAATTGGTGACAAACTGTGCTTGGATTTGTCTTGTCTGTGCGCATAGTTTTCTTCTAAGTGATCTGAGCTCAATTTTCGCCTTGAATGTTTCAAGTCGTTTTCCTGCAAACTTCTGGACAAATTGTCTTTTGGTTTTCTTGATGTACTTGGCCTGAGAGAGCTGTTTTCCTCTAATCTACTTATACTGGGCGATTTTCTCCTTGACGACTTCACGTCATATTCTTGCAAGCTCTTTGACAATTTATCTTCTTGACCATCGTAACGAATTTCATCTACTGAACGAGAATCCTCCCTGGAGTTTCTCAAGTCATTCTCTTGCAGACTTTTTGTCAGGAGATTGGGTGAAGAATTTGGGGTAAGTTGTTGTGATACGAATTCTGAACCTTTTTTGTAAGTCACCAGAATATGATGTGTTCTGTACTTTAAATCGCCACCCAGGAAATCCGGTACATCGTTTATCTGTAGGAAATAAAACCAAAAATATTCACGAGAATCGTTCTCTAATGGGTAAATCCAGCTATTGACTAAATTTTGATCAAGGCAAGAAGAACAAAATCCAACACCACAGCTAGAAAGAGCGTCTTAGAATGAGTAAAGTTCTTGTACGATTTTGTATATAACCGCTCCAAATGCCCATCTACATTTACAAAGACCTCGAGCGAGCGAGATGTCCAGTGTCGCTATATTTACCCAGACTGAAACAGCTGTGTTGTCAAAGCACTCTATATATTGTTCAATATATTATCAACACGCTTACATAAGAAGCGAACAAAACTCTTATTGTCAGAAAGACCGCGGGAGTATATATATCATTCTGGCAAAGTCTGTACTGGTAACAAAGTACTTCAGCTTATACAGAAACTAAATTTTGGATAAAGAATCTCAATTTTAACTATAAGTTATACTGTGTTGTAGAAAGTCTTCATGAGTCTTACAATATAACCATTGAAATATACTTGTTGAAGAGTTTTATAGATGGAGTGTGAATTTTACCTTTACATTTTCCAGCTACAATACCTTTCGACATTACTTCAATGGAGTGAAATGCCCCAAATAATTCTGATATTGAAATATATTTCACTCTCACATAAACTTAAATGCAAAGTCTTGTGTGCTTGGTCGAACGGATGAGAATTGAGAAGCGAGGGTTTGCATGAGAGTTTTCTCAACTCTCGTGTCCCGGTCAAACGTGAACAAGAGTTGCACGAGAGTTGATGAGAGTTGAGAAGCGAAAGTTTGCATCAGAGGTTTCTCAACTCTCATGCCCTGGTCAAACGAGAACAAGAGTTGTATATATGAGAGTTGAGAAGCGAGAGTTTGCATGAAGGTTTTCACAACTCTCGCGTGCCTCGGTCAAACGTAAACAAGAGTTGCATCGGAGTTGATGAGAGTTGACTGGATATTACCGCGCGCTTATCTCTTATCAACTCTTATCAAAATTTGAACCAGTTCATGCAGAGTCAATGAGACTATGACTGAGAGTTGATGAGGGTGCATGAGAGTCGATGATCAAACGCAAGCGAGAGTTGCAACTCTCATCAATTCTTAATCCTAGTTTGACCGACTCGAGGATTGCTACAAAAAATTTGAGCAAGTCAGGGTCGCAGGCATAGCTCACTCACACTCAATGAGCGATCTGAGCTTCTCTTGAATGTCATATCAATGTTGTCTTTGAATAGCTGGAGGGTGAGCAGTCACCGAGTAAGGTATGACACTAGCCCTACAGCGATTCAAAAACAGCATTGACACTCAAGAAAAGCTCAGATAGAACCTCCACTCATTGAGTGTGAGCGAGCTTTCAGAATAAGGGCGTAAGACTATAAACATGCACTTACATATTCTGTCGAACCAGATGAGCGAATTTGCCTTGTCAAAATGAAAACTAATATATCACACAGACACATCGATGTTATACTTACAAGCTCAACAGACGTGATGTCCAGAATCCGAGTGACCTCTTGAATATCTTTGGCAACTTTCGGTGGATTTTCAGTAACGTACAGCCATTCATCAGCTAAAACTACAAACTTAAACTGCTTGTTGTATACGTCTGACAGTGCGACACACGGCTCGATGAGCCGAACTCCTGTATACCTCGAATGTGACAGAAATCTCTTCAAAAAGCTATCGACTTTTTCATACTTTTTCGTAAACACACATTCCATAACATGGAAACGACGAATTGAAAGTGTAGTGTTATTCTAAGGCATGTTGCTTTGTTATTTTCAATGGCAATGATGCTGTCCACCGAGGATAATACATTTAGCAATGCCTTGCCACATTAATTCTCGCTGTCAGAGACAGAGTCGTTTCATTGTAAACACAGCTATCAACTTTTTCGTATTTTTTCCCCGTGAACACACATTCCATACGGCATAACATACACGAATTCAAAGCATACTTTTCCTGTCTTGTTAATTTCACAGGTACATTATGCGTTTAGCTATTTCTACATGCAAATAATGTATTATTAATCCCGTCGTCAAAGACGCCTTCTGCGTATGCAACAATTACACACGACAAAAACAATGACTGATCTGCCGACTTTCGATATTGTGTTGCCAAACTTTCAAAGCCGATATTGTATAAGATTTAGACGGCTAATGTCCGTCAAATACGGAAAATTTTAGCAGGGGCAATGTAGGGTCTTTGTGTATGGACTATTGAAAATGCAATGTAAATATAATCTTATAGGTTCGGTAAACTTGAGTCTTAATCAGTAAAATGAAAATCGAATGCAAATTGTGTGGACTGTTTATACAATTACGGATTTGAATGAATAATATGAGGTTATGTAAAAGTTATGTTAATTAGGTAACCTCGTACCCAGGGCCTCTGCGCTTGTCGTAGTACTATTTTGGGAACGAAAATGAGTAAAATAAGTTATTTTACAGTTTTGATAGTACTTGCAAATATTTCCAGAATAAATGTGCTTCTTTCATGTGGAAAGGTTCCATATAGTTAAAATTAAATATAAACTAATGCCTGCCTCTTGTTCAAACCTTTCTTATGAGTCTTTGTGAACGTTACTGATCAATTTACTTCTCTTTTGCCGAGAAAGCCCATCCAGACATGCATTTCGTTCCTATTTCTTTTCGGAAATCTAGAAACATTGCATGAAATTAACATTAGGCATTATTGTTTGTGGTTAAATTCATTCGAGAACTTAAACTAGAGTTTGCATAATTTGCATTTGCTCTCGTGCCCCGGTCAAACGAGAACAAGAGTTGCATGAGAGTTGATGAGAGTTGAGAAGCGAGAGTTTGCATGAGAGTTTTCTCAACTCTCATGCCCCGGTCAAACGAGAACAAGAATTGCATGAGAGTTGATGAGAGTTGAGAAGCGAGAGTTTGCATGAGAGTTTTCTCAACTCTCATGGCCTGGTCAAACGAGAACAAGAGTTGCATGAGAGTTGATGAGAGTTGAGAAGCGAGAGTTTGCATGAGAGTTTTCTCAACTCTCGTGCCTCGGTCAAACGAGAACAAGAGTTGCATGAGAGTTGATGAGAGTTGAGAAGCGAGAGTTTGCATGAGAATTTTCTCAACTCTCATGGCCTGGTCAAACGAGAACAAGAGTTGCATGAGAGTTGATGAGAGTTAAGAAGCGAGAGTTTGCATGAGACTCTCGTGCCTCGGTCAAACGAGAACAAGAGTTGCACGAGAGTTGATGAGAGTTGAGAAGCGAGAGTTTGCATGAGAGTTTTCTCAACTCTCATGGCCTGGTCAAACGAGAACAAGAGTTGCACGAGAGTTGATGAGAGTTGAGAAGCGAGAGTTTGCATGAGAGTTTTCTCAACTCTCATGGCCTGGTCAAACGAGAACAAGAGTTGCACGAGAGTTGATGAGAGTTGAGAAGCGAGAGCTTGCATGAGAGTTTTCTCAACTCTCATGGCCTGGTCAAACGAGAACAAGAGTTGCACGAGAGTTGATGAGAGTTGAGAAGCGAGAGTTTGCATGAGAGTTTTCTCAACTCTCATGGCCTGGTCAAACGAGAACAAGAGTTGCATGAGAGTTAATTGATGAGGATTGAGAAGCGAGAATTTGCATGGGCCATATGTAAAGCGCAATTTAATAATATTCACATGTAAATTATAGAAAGCTATATAGAAATCTTAAATCTTCAATTCAATCTCGCTGTACCGTATATTTGCTCCACTTCTTCTCGGGATCGTAAGGCTCCCATCTGCTTGCGGGGAAAATGTGTTTGTTTCTCTCATACCAGGTTCTTAAGCAGACTTTCCCTGCGTGAGACTAAAACAGAATATAAAGCCGGTTACCGGATGGATCTAGCGCTATCCAGAAATGATACAACCGACCCCAGGAAATCTTACCTCGTCTTTCTCAATAGTCGCATCATTAGTTAGTCTGATGTCTTCGTGAACATCAAAATTAAACAGTGGTCCGCTCTTGCCTCGAGCTTTGTTGACGATAAAATCGTAGAATGTGTAATGCTAGAATAATGGTACAAACAAGGATACCAGAGCTAATTAAGTAAAGAACGACCAAATTGTGTGGTTAATTGTTGAAATACTTGAAACCTGCTCCAAATCTTCAAGAGGTTGCTGGGAGGTCAATAGTATAACCACTTATTTCTTAAGAAAGGGGTCGGACATCTCGCACCGTTCGTGCTTTTAAATTTGACAATTGTGTAAGATTTTACTCCAAGCATACCTGTGGAATAATCAGGTCCTCTTTAACATACATTACTTGTTCTGTTGTTACTGGCCTGAAAAGATAAATTAAAAACGGAAATTAGGTTGCATGGCTGTGGGAAGGAAGTTCTGTTAGCTTTTATATAATATGGATGATTCCAGTATAGACTAAATTTTGATCTAGACAAGAAGAACACAATCCATTACCATAGCTGGAAAGAGCATCTTAAAATGAGTAAAATTGCAAAGTTTGGTTGCGAATTGTTGTAAAATGAGGAAAATATAGCCCTGTGAAGTTCGCAAATTTTGTACATATTTGCATTACGCGCGGGAAAATGATCATTTTTGAGCCGAAAGTGGTTATTTTTACCGCGCGTAATACGAATATATACACAATTTGCGAACTTCACAGGGCTATATATTTTCTTCATTTTACAACATTTAGCAACCAAACTTTGCAGTTTTACTCATTCTAAGATGCTCTTTCTAGCTGTGGTGTTGGATTTCGTTCTTCTTGCCTTGATCAAAATGTAGTCAATAGCTGGACATGGATTGGAAATTATTCTTACTTAAGTTCAGTAAAGTCTTTTCTCAACTGTTCTAAACACTTTTGTAAGAATTGTTGGATAGAGTTGCCTTTCTTCATCTAAAGAAAAATTACAAAATATTTCATCAGCTGAGTGCCATTCGCTGCTAACTTTAGCTGCCCAGCTCACAGACCTCTCTCATCAACACTTACTATGAGTTTGCGACGATGTCCAGAACCATCCCAATAGCTGTACGTGATTTCAATGTCTTCCTCTGTTGACACAGAAAGCAAGTGAAATTGTTTATTGAGTACGGTATCTCACAAATTGGTGAGCGGATTTCCCAACAAGCTATTGCCCAAGTGATAAGGGATCCGAGGTATCTACGATTTAACGTCCTTATCCGAGAAGACGCGAAAGCCTAACCATTTACTGATGTCAATGTAAAGGTAGCTCTTTTTCCCCAATTATTTTAAGACCTTGAGTAGAGGTCTGACCAAGGACTGAACCCAGGTCTCCCGGCTTCAAAGTCAAGTGTGGTGAAGACATGAAGTAATCAATAAGGCATTAATTGGTTAATAAAAAAGCATTCGATTACCAAAAAGGCATTGGTACATAGTACATACAGTACTGTAGATATATATTGCAATATATTTTGCTTACTCTTTATTTTCTCCTGCATTTCAACCCATTCTTGCCGTAATCTTTCTCTCTCCTGTCTTTCCCCTTCCTGTCACCTCAAAAAGAACATTAATTAAATAATGACCACCTGTCAATAGTTTTGCAATTTTGAGATTTTTCAAACACCCCTGGTTTTGTGAGTTTTGTGCTGCTTAATGTTTCTTTACTGAACTCAGGGGCGTAGGAAGCACCTGGAGTTTGGGGGGGCACCGGCTTGTAGGGGCACATTACTATCGGAAAGGGCACCTAAAAAATTTTTCCCGGAAATGTTGCCGACGGGGGGGGGGCAGAAATTTCTCCTGAGGAAAATTTTCCGTCATATCATACCGAAATTTATGTTTGTGACCTAATTTTTAAAAAAAATTTGTAAATTTCCACACAAAAATGGCACCTATTGTTTTAATTTAGTATTTACAGCGACATTAGCTTCTACAAAAGGGGCACTTTTCCTCACAAAAAAGGGCACTTTTCAACACAAAAAGGGCACTTTTTATCACAAAAAAGGGCACTTTTAGTCCTTTAAAAAAATTTGGGGGGGCACATGCCCCCCGTGCCCCCTTGCTTCCTACGCCCCTGATCTACGGATTTGAGTTACTTGGACTCAGGTCTGAATCACTTGGCACTCTCTATATCCGATATCCTGAGGGCACAATTGTCGTACCCAGACTGTGCGCGGTTCCTATGATATTAACCTTGGTTACTATGTAACCTCATTAAATGTAGTTGAGACGCAATGTGTTAAAGCAGGGGGCACTAACAGACACTATGGAACTACACAGCCATTTTTTTCTTAATTGTCGGGTTTCCAATTGAAAACTAATTTCCACAGTCGTCATGAATTTAACTCAAACAACTTCATTTTTACTGCACTAAAACTTTGGTGAGAAGATTGAGTTTCAAAACTCAATTCAAGATTGAGTTTTTGGGGCCGTGTTACGGCTCTGAAAAATCCCTGAAAAAACCTTGATACTGGAACGTTGCTATATCAACCAGATTCAACAAGGTATTAAATCTATGGGCTGAAATTCTGAGCTTCGTAACAGATTGCCAATGTTTAACATTGCTAATCAAATCAAACAAAAACATCTCCATTGATTATGGGACAGACAAACTTTAGAGAAAGAAATTAATATTCTGAAATAAAATTATCAAAAAATGTCGTTGTTTGTGCAAGCAGAACACTTTGGTGTTCAGCAAGCTTGTGTCATCCCCACTACAACGCAAGAGGAAAAGAATGCAATCTTTTATGTTCTTATGCTTTATGTTGCATCATAGAAAGATTACATAAGAAATCAATACAGGTATGTCTGATCTCTCTTATGCTTGTGTTTATGCTTATTATGCTTACATTGTAGCAAGGACTAGGCTTAAGTAATTGGCTCAATACTATTTTTTTTTTAAATTTATTAACTTTGCCAGATAGTCTTAACAGTTACTGTACTACAAAGTAATAATTATACATTTAACAAACTGAATAGACTATATAGGCAGGGTATTCGCAACGTGATTGGCCAATTACACATGCAAACCCAAGAACAATATACATTGATATCAAATAGCAAACAACTAACAACTTCATTATACAACTAAGTATTTAGCTACTGGCCAGTCAGCAACTGGCCAAGCTATGATAATAACATGCACTAGTTAGTTGAAACGAAATTGAACAAACTAATACATGCTACCGACTATTAAAGCATGGCATGAGCAGTTGACTATATAGCTTAGCTGTGTGGGCACCTTAAAACTATACTCATGCTATTAATAGCCAATCAAAGCATAGTCCATACAGGTACTGTAGTCGTTTGACACAAATGGATCATTCCAGGAAACGTCCATACCTCCCACACAGAAAAAATTGGAAGTTAAATCCCCTACCCCCTTTGCATGTCCTACTGTAATACACTTATTATTATAATAAACAAAATTTTCTCCCTCCCCCTCTAGATGGCAGAAATTTCCTCTTTGGGCTAGGGATGAGCCGATTAATCGGTAAATAATCGGCAAAGCCGATTAATCGGCCGTTTTTTAAATAATCGGTAATCGACCGATTATTGCCTGATAATCGGAAAATAATCGGCCATAAGACCTTCTCTGCAGCTGCCGATCACATGCTAAAATACTGAATACAAGCGAATAGATTTTCACATTTTGTTGCAAAACCTGTGCCTTCTTTCGTCTCAAGCGAAGTGAAGCTGGGAACATTTCCACTAAAAAAGCGCAGCAGACTAGCTCCGCATAGTGTCTTGTTTTTACACCATACTGTAATCTGCCAAAACTAAACTTTGACTATTGACATGCGAGACTGAAGTTGTTTTTAATTGTACAAAGTGTGTATTGTAAACAATAAAACCGCATTTACAACTTCATTGTTGGTCATCCTGTGATTTTTCGCTTGCTTTTTAAAATAATCGGTGGGTACCGATTAATCGGCCGATTAGTTACAATAATCGGCTTATAAATAATCGGCCTCAGTAATCGGCAATTTTCCTTATCGGCTCATCCCTACTTTGGGCAGGGTGGTCTTTTCTGGAATGACCCAATAACATTTGTATCAGGCCTTCATTTTTCTTTGCCTGCTAGCTGGAAGAAAAATAAAGGCCTAATGATTAAATTTACCTCTGAACCTTGCCCTCAATTAATCCCACCCCGCAGATCTCATAGCAGATTAAACTATAAGGTCAATGATTCTTTAAATTGCTCAGGCCACCTATAATACACTTTGAAACTCTACTCCTGGTCTAACCACAGACGACCAAGGATCTGCTTGAAATCTAATGAAATTTACCAGGTATCACTTTCGCATTTGACAGAACGAGGAAATTTCTGTTCGACATATGGTAATATCTAATGCAGTGTCAGACAAATAACCACAGCGTAAATATTATGTACTCGATACGATTCATATGGTATACTTTTGCTCAATTGTAAACTAGCACAAGTCGCCAATTGGGCATAATCAAGTAACTACCTAATTTTACAGGTATCTATCTATATATACAATCGTGATGGTATTTATCAATATTTAATTGATGGTCACGCGATGGTCTTATCAATATTTGACCAGTACCCAAATTGAATATATATTCATAATTTATATAATCACATACCTTCTTATTTAGCAAAATAAAATCCCTATATCGTCGATAAATCACCCATTTCTTAAAGCCACCATCAACCTCTATTTTGTAAAGCTAAAAATCAAAGATGTCATATTTGTAGCAAGCATATAAACCTCATGTGCCAAACGCAAATATATACGGACGTTTCACGGAAGTTTAAGACCGTATAAACGAATGTTATGAAGTTAAATTAAACAGCATTTCATACCGTATGTCGTTTCTGAGGCTCAACAATTTGTCTTCCTAAAATACAAGTATCGAAACGGCCCATACTTGTGGAAAAGCTTGCAGCGTCGCTTGTTGGGTAGCGACCACTAGCCATCGTAGGCGAACCATTGAGCCCAGATTTTAATGATCTTGGATAGCTTGAGGAAACAACAGACAGTGTATCTTCGTTGTTGTTCATTTTTGCTGTGAAATTCGCTTCAAAATACTAGGAAAACAAAAGTTTCGTCATATTTTTGCTGCGCACTCTGTTTGTTCCATGAAGGCTGTTGTTGTCAGTTAATATTTAATTGCAACTTTTGAACGATGGTATGTAAATTTCTGTGATCAGATGACCCTTGCAGATGACCCTGGCCAGCTCTGATATCAGGCCTATATTTATTTATTTTTACAGGCCTGATATGGGACCTGCCGTCGTGCCAGCCTGCTTGAAGCTCGAATTTATCGTTCCAAGGAAACCGGAAATTTGGGTGGGGGCTGTTATACCCGTCACGTTTTAGGAAGAGTTTCAGTGGCGCCGCCAACTCGATAATTGGGGCGGGGCGAATATTCATATATTTCTGTTCACAGACCATAAAAACAATCGATTTCAAAAGAAGTTAATAATGCAGAACACGAAGATATGAATATTCGCCCCCCCCCCCAATTATCGAACTGGCGGCGCCACTGAAGAGTTTATGCCTATTTTTAGACTTTTGTAATTTTGTATTCTTTTGTATTTTAAACTTATTAATCCTAACCCTAACCCTATTCCAAGTTTGTTTCTAAACCAATCTTGAAGAAAAAAGGGTTTGACGAAATGTCATTCGTAGGTCAGCGAGCTAGCCTTTCCCGGCTGCTGAGCAGGCTAATCAATGCCATCAATGGCCCAACCCCCCAAAATGTTGTTCATTTGACATGTGACGGAATTTTGTGACGTGAGACAGTCGACGTCACATGTAGGGCTAAAGAGAGATTTTGCAGGACCCCCAGGTCCCCTGCAGGAACCCTGGAACCTGATAGTCAGGATTTTCACCCCAGAATAGCAGATACAGATACACCAATGTAGTGGCACCTCCTCAATTGGCAGCCCCTATCAGCTGGGGGCACGGGGCAAGTTCCCCCACTTCCCAACTCTGTGACTCTCAACCATTTTACAACTGTTTAATAATTGGAATCAAGATATTTGCTGTGTTGGTGTAATGTACTCAGGTGAATAAGATGCTTGTGTGATGTTACTCTGAGTGTATATCCACACCGGGCAGGCTTGAAAAAATGCCTGGCCACGGTGGGAATCGAACCTACGACCTTTCATAATACTATCCCAATTCCAAAGGTCGTAGGTTCGATTCCCACCGTGGCCAGGCATATTTTTTCAAGCCTGCTCGGTGTGGATATACACTCAGAGTAACATCACAAGTATCTTATTTACCTGACTGACCAGAGTACATTACACCAACACAGCAAATATCATGATTATTAGATTACACTGATATCGAAGAAACTAGACTCAGTTCCGAAATATCACATACGCGAACCGACCTGACCGCGTAGCTTTTTTACAAAGTTAAAAAAGGCCCTGAAACATTTCAATTTTTTTTCCACTTTTTAAAACAACAAAAAAATTCTTTCATGTCATATTTATATATTTATAACACAACATAATTTACAAGCAATGCAGTAATACCAGTTAATACTACATTAAATTAATCAAAACGCCATAAAATGTTAGACTTATTACACAAAGGAATATTAAATACATGATATACAGCAATAATATTGTTAATATTTAATATATATTCAATGCAATATTTTTCTCTTTTGTACTCAATATAATACAAAATGCTGAACAAATAGTAAATATTTTAAACCGAAAAAAAATATACTAAAATAAAAAAAACAAAGAAGTCTCAGGGGTAGCATAATTTTCAAAATAATCACAACCCGATCATCCCTGTTACTTCAATTTAACTAAAGTTAAAATAACTAAAATCAATGTTTATATAAACTCAATTCGACAATTCCATCTTTAAACTAGGGGATAACTAGCGGACGTCGCAATACCACATTGGTTATTGTCGTTCCTTGTCATCCAGATATACCCCTCTTTACCCCAGCTTGCTCCCCAACTGTTCTTAACAATCCAGTAGTCTTGACCACTATCGGTACCATAGCCTACGACCAGTACACCGTGGTCCAGTTGGGTTGTGCTGCAAGATGGCTCATTGTATACGCCACTGTGATAGAATTGGAAGGAGAAGTGACTAGCATCAATGGCGACAGAGATAGGGCCGACAGTTCCGGCAGCAGATTTGAGGTCAGCCTCCGAGCCTTTGGTGACGTCGACGTAACCTAAAACAAAATTAATATTTTAGGCTTAGATGTCAAGGACACAATGACATTCAGTAGTTATTCATGCAGCAGCAGACATTCAGCCGTTAACCACGCTTACCAGGTTACTGTAACTTGTCAGAAGCTGGTTAGGTCAATTTAGAACTAATAAATGTATATAAAAATTTCCACCCGATAATTTTCATCTACAATACCCTCAACTATCTTTGAAATATAACTGATGTATTATACATGGTTTTCAAAAATCATTAATAATTCAAAGAAAATCATAAGCGTGTCGTATCTTTATATGTGATAGAGATTTCCCTTGGTTTACATAAACTTTAACTTTGATTTTCTTGACTTGCACAACATATTTTTTTGAAAATTACTTGCCAATAAACTCATTAGGCATAAAAAAATACCTGTGGTTCCGGTTCCCGACCGACCGTATTTTTTTCTGCCGACCCTATTATTTTTTCAACGCGATTGACCTGTGCAACCCTATTTTCTCTGGGTGGTTGCGGACTACTGCCAAAATGGTGTCTGTTGTCACACTAATTATTGAAAACACCATGAAAAAAATATTCAAAAACAAAATTTATTTCCGACCTACCGACCCTAATTATTTCGTGATATGAAACCGAAACCACAGGTATTTTTTACGCCCTAGAAAGATCATTTTTGAAGCAATTTAAATCATTTGCAGTGCGTGTTTTATCGGACCTAAACATGGTACTCAGCTTCACCTCATATCTTTATATTTGATAAAACAATGCTTCTCATGTTTTAAATAGTACATAATTACCTGTACATGTAGCGCCAACATTACTTGCACTAAAATGGCAAGATCCATCTTCAGCAGTATAAGGATAGCTTGCTTCAGTATCGATACCATTGTTTGCTTTGATGTACCTGAAAGCATCATCCATAAGACCACCTTCGCAGCCATTGTTTCCATAGCTTTTGGAGCAGTCGACAAGATTTTGTTCACTGAGTGAAACCAAGTTACCTGTTTTCTTAAAATGCTGTCCCTCTAGAGATCCTGTAGTACTGAACGCCCAGCAAGATCCACATTGTCCTGAAATCATGCGATGACATTAATTATAATCAGTGATATATGGAAATTAGCAGGGGCAGATCTAGCCTTGCAAGGAGGGGTGCAGGTTTTTCTTGGGGTGGTGCATGAGGGAGCCTTACTGCCCACTCTCCTCTGCAGTCTGCAACGCTACTATCCCGACATTACCATTACTTGAGATGGCCGAATCTGCATGTTTGCCGTTCTGTTATGTTTAAAACATTATCTTTTGTTTATAAAGTTTATATCGGCTTTTTATCACGTATGTGTGACTGGACAGTTGTTGTAGCACAGTACAGTAAATTTGCTTTAAAGTACAGTAAATTTGAAAATATGGCTGTATAACAACCTCGACATGTTTACACATTTAACCATGATATTTAACGAAGCATTCTATTTAACGAGTATTTTCTCGTGAGCTCACAAATCAATTAAATCGTTTCAAGAACTTGACACACGCTAACAGTAGAAGTTCCTCTAATCTCGCTATTCAAAAAGAGGAAAATGTATGGTCAAGCAGGACTTCTCTGGGGGGTGCTAGACAGCACTAAGGTGCGCACCCCATTGGTGGATCTGCCACTGGATTTGTTAATGCATTGGGTTCACACTGCTAAAAAAACCCTGGCCACATGCCGAGGTTCTACCAATAATTCCCAACTATTACGTTATATATAAATTAATACCTTGATTCTTCACTCCGGTGACATAGCCAGATTTCCTCCAGTCAACAGAACTATTAAGCTTGACGTTTGAAGGCGGGAGGTAGGTCGAGCCAGATCTTTCAAGTTTGTGATTGTACTTTGTGCCGAGCAGAATATGTCTGAATTCCAAAGTTGTGTAATCACCCAGATGGTTCATGGCTAGCTTGAATTGTTTCGCACCATTGTGATCTTCAATTTTCTAAAATTGAGCAGAATTTAAAATTTTAAACCATTATTCCCCTAGATTTTCACCTTGCCTACTGCCTAGTAAATTGGTCTGGCATTAGAAAGAACAAAATAGGGCTAATCATATCAAGAATTAGAAAATTTGAATACAGTCATAACCAAGTTGAAAAGTATATTCAAATAGTTTTGAGCAATTGTGTTACATAACATGCAAAAAATTCACCTCTTTAATGGGTTTATAATGTATCGATACAATCAATGAGATAATTCCATTGCAAAATAGTTCTGTTAGTACACAGCCTATGTACATATTAGACTAATTTTCAATTCTTTCTGAGGGGCTGTTCATGAAATGAACCAGGCCAGGCCAGTCAGCCGGGATGAATCTAATGGAATCAATCCAAGGTCAGGGCTCAAAATAACAGCCTGTCAACGGACAATGACCAGCCAAAAATGCCTCTTGACCGGCCATATTTTCATGCTTCCAATGTGATTGCTGACGTCTTGAATTTAAACATGAACTTGACTGAGCTAAAATCAAGTTGACCGGTCATAATTTTGACCCGAGACCTTATAATCCCCCATTATTTCGAGCCCCGAGGGTAATTTAACTTTGAAATGTCATTTTCGATGTTGATAGACTGTGATCAGAGCTTTATTAATTAAATGAATCAATCCGATTAACCGGGCCAGCCCGGCTCCATATAAATATACGAACAGCCTGTAACAAAATTTTCCAAATTCCCAAAGTACATCACATGACATGTTATATAATAAATTAATTAATGCACAAGCCTTTTTGTTTGACAAGTATGAAAAATCATCTGTCATTTGAGTAAAATAATCTGGCATCAGACAGAATAAAATAATAAAGTATTAAAGGGGAACCATTTATAGGTTAATTATTAATATAAGACATAATTTGATGCCATCCTTTATATATTTCTTGCGTAATGCATGAGTCAATTCCTGGAGTAACCATCCCCCCCCCCCGGGACACCCCCGGGCATTTGCCCGATAGACAGTTCACGGGGGTCGGGAATTTGCCT